AAGGTGTGCAGAGAATTAAAAATTGTTTCCTAGCCAACAGTTTCAAGTGCAGAGATGATGTGAAATTTCTGATATATCTGAAGAATGTAATCTGTACTGTTATAAATTATGCACGTAGATGTGTCTATAAGTAATATAATTATTACTTTATATGTTTTAGTAGCGTTGCCATGTAGAAAATTTGGGATGTTGAATACTTTACAGGATTCAAGACCATGCTTATCTCTTCAATCTTGCTGTGCCATCTAATTTTCTTGCCTCCCTCATCCCATGTCCTGTATTTGATTCCAGGGTTGGTGGACGATCCACTATGCCAGTATTAAAGGATCCCAGGCCTCTGTCTGACAAAAGATTCCAAAATGCGGCATTGCAGAGGGTACAGTATGAGTCCGGCTTTCTTTTATCTTGATGTAGAAACTGTTACCAGTTGTCTTTAAAAACTTAGTGGTTATGTTTTCATAATCATTGTTCTGCATCACAGCTGATGTTCTGTAGTATAAGCGTTGTTGACGATGAAACTTCACTTGACCCCATCCCTCCCTCGGCAGTCACTTTGCATCCAGGCGCCACAATTAAAAAGTCATAGTGGACTTGTGGTATTGTTTCCCTAAACCTTACAGTGTTATTGCATCAACTTTCCTTCATCTGCTGTGTATTTACTGGTAAAGTTGTCTCTGTGGCCCAATATTTAGATTATATTCTTATGAATTTCTGATGTAAGTATAGTGTACGTCAAACTACATATGAAACAGTTCAATTTAGAACAATTTATGCGTCAAATGATTACATTTATTATAGGAATAATAAAGTTCCAATGAAAGTATGTGTCACTCTTCATAAAACATAGCTTCCTTATGCTTAAAAGGGTTAAACAATTTATTAAGGTGTTAGTAAACTTTATATTAACGTAATTCTATTTACCTACAATTATATAATGTATCCTTTCACTTTAATTCAGCTGGTAGATTTTAAAACTATCATAAATTTGAGCTGTTGATATCAGCCTTGAAGTTCACGAGACATTCTTACCTGGATAGCAAAAATTGACACCAAGTTACGTTGCCTGATTTGTCTGTTGCAGATCCAGAATTATCTTCATCAAAATGATGATGAAGATTTGAAGTTGACCACTTCAAAGGCCTTGGCCACACGTTCGCTTACACTAAAGGTGTTTGTGGATTTTGTATATCATTTGCTGTCTCATTTTTTCAAGAAACACATTATAAATATGAGCAACTATGCGGATGAAATTCCACACCTGACCAAGAGGCTCGGATATCCAGGCAGCGTTAAGAAATCCTGGCTGATTACAGGTTTGTACCCTACAAGTTAAAAAAAAATTGTCATTACTCCTTTTTCTTAACCAATTGCTTGTTACCATTTGTGTACCAGCCAGATCTTCATTTCCACCAATCAGATTTGTCTCATCCCACCTACTAAGTAATCGATAAACTTACCAATACACATTCACCCTGAAGATGGTGGACAGCTTTCATCATTCAATGAGGCTCATCACTGAAAGCCAAAGCTGTACACTGGATTTTAGTTGCAAATACTGAAGTACAGGAAGTCTTGTAATTGTTTATGTTCATAATTTGTTTAATATTTGCAGCAAACTCGTCACACTCGTGGCCTAATGTCATTGGTCTACTGTCCTGGTTGGTAGATATAGTTAGAATATACAGACCCGAGATGTTGAGCATGATTATGTTTCCTCCTGAAGGTGAGGAAGTTGTAAATGAAAGCATTCTCGATACACAGGTAATTACTTCTTGTGTTTTTTTTTCTTTCCCCATGGTCCTTCTGATGAGATAATTAAGTACAGTATGACTGTAATCTTGAGACTTGCAAGGAATGCAGGAAGTCTGCAGCATTAAAGGCTGACACTATCTTTCCTCCTCCACCCCGCACTTATCAAGATTACAGTCGTGGACTATATAATATACATTTCATAAAAGATCTATGAACATTGAGAAAATATTATGTTATGTGCAATTATTCCTCTTTCGTCCTTTGAACAAACAGGCCCAGTGGTTTGTCGAGGAATAAAAGCATGCAGCTCATATGACTGAGCTTTTTCATGATTTTCTCTGTGTGTATTTGTAGTTTCTCATTCTGCTATTTATCACCTCTTTCGAGGAAGCAATGTTTACCTCTGAAATGTGGTGACCACCTTCACAGCTATGTGGCATCTCAACCAGAACCCCCAAAGACAACTGTTCACAGATTGAACATTGATTTTTATAAGAAACACAGTAAAGATTAGTTTTTTAGTTTGTATTCTGATTACATTTTAAATGCATCAATATGGGTGAAGAGAAGCAATAGATGGTTGTCTTTAGAATTTTGATTCGAACATCTTGAATTTTAAAGAATCTTCATCCTGATAGAAATTACGAGAGAAACATGCACCTCCGTAAGTTGTTGTTTTTGTTTTGTTTTTTTCAGACAATGTTCTCCTACTATTTCAAGTGTTATGACATTTTTAACAATGATGAAGCAAGTGAGGAACGTATGGCTGATGAAGACAACCGTCTAGTCCATGAGATGGCTTTGAAGCTTAACATAAACAAAGAAGACTTCAGAGCGATTACAGAAGAAATCAGAAACCTGAAAATGCAGTTGGACAATCCAGAAGATAAAGCGGCACGCAGAGAAATGATAGAATTAGAAGCTGCATCTGAAAGTCTCCACAATGACTTGAAGAAACAACGACATTGCGTTCAGAAAAGGGATGCCTATCGGAATGCGCAGCAGGATAAAGTCGCAAGGCTCTTGTCTAACAATGATGTGTTGAAGATGCACATCGAGAACGTGCAGACAGACATTTCAAAAATGAAGCATGTTATTGAAACTCAGAGCATCACTCGCGAGGATAAGGAATCCATCGAGAGCGAGTGCAGAGTGCTGGAGGAGACTATCAAAGTGAACCAGGCTTGCTGCGATGCGTTGTCAAAGACTGTGTATGCGGATGACATTAAAATAGCCAAATTGAAAAATGAGTTGAACAACAAGTGCGTAGATTACAACACGTCCATTATGGAGTACAGAAGTGGACTTCCAGCTTTAGACGTTTTTAAGATGCCTATGAACTTCCTGCACAAAGATACTGATCTTATCATGCAGGTAAGGTCTACAATAACAGTTCAGTGCTTAGCTCTCTTTTTTATGTGTGTTAAATTCTCTACTCAATCTGATTAATGTAAATGAGAGTTTTACGGTTTTCCTCGTTCCCTTCAAAATGATGCTGCGATAACACTTTGAAACAGACAGACAAATTCATTAACCTTCATCGTTTGCGAATAGGCTGCTTTAACCCATGTAGTACAGTTCTGCTGACTGGACTCCTGAGTTGATGGTTTGGTACTATATTAATGAGGTGCATGACCCGCTGAATCATATACGTGATCTGTAATGGTAGTATGGCGCAATTTGTCTTCTTCATTCCATTCATTTTGTCCCTCTCAATGCTCAGTCTATAAATTGCCCACAGGGAGCAGATGGACAGGTACAGTGATCAGGCATGGTGTACTCCCTATATACAAAGAGGACAAGTTGATACGTTAGTGTCCTTGGCTGAACAACAAAAGTGCTCCATATGGCTTTTGCATTGCGTAATACTTATCAAGAGCAACAAAAAATAATTTAATGAAGTTTTCTCGGGGAATCAGCCATGTCAGGTGGTTGCAAGAAACTGAGGACCAAGACAGTTCTCAAAACATCGGTTTTCTTACGACCATCTGATGCAGCTTATTGCCCGAGAAGACTTCGTTGAATTTAGTGGCCATTATAGATCCTACAAAAGAATCACTGGTTAATCATCTTTTCTGAATCTTTGTTTCGTTCACAGCAAATTGTTGATGAGATGGAGAACTTCAGGACAGATTTAAAAATGAAATTGAATGAAATGGAAACACGGGCAGAGGAGCAAGAAGAATTTGCTGCAGAGGCTGTTGAACGCGAGGTCGCATCCTCTGAAGAGTATGACAAGTATGTGAAGGAGGTGGAAGACTTGAAGGCAGAGGTGACAAACCTGAAGGAGAAAGTAAAGAATGAAGAACAGATGTTTAAATGCAATTTGAAGAGACTGGAAGAAGATTGTGTGGATATTGTAGCAAAGATGCCTTCTGTTGAGGAGGAAGAAGAGAAATTGAAGGACAGTAGAGAAAAAGTTCAGTTCATGACAGATCACATATCGAAAGTCAATGAACAGGCACATTCGTTCTTTCAAAAATATGATGCCATTTATGAAGACTTGATACAGAAGTTGAAAGGTCAGATGTTGGAACATATGAAACAAAGGGAATCCAAGAAATAAAGTTACAGTGTTTAGGCACAATATTTAATTCTCCTGTGGTATTATAATCCTCTCTGGGTGAAACAAAATACTCTGCTTTTTCTCTGATCGCATTATGTCCTTTTGCTCGTCGTTTTCTTTAATTTCTGGGTATTAAGTATCTACCGAGATTGAAACTTCAGAGACATTGCGTGGGCTGGCAAATATCTTACTTTGCTGATGTTTTGGATGTGCTTATTGCCTCTGTCATTGAGATGATGGAGGCAGTAAGCACCTTTGGAATTGATTACTTGTATGTGACTACGCTGTGAAATATCCCAGATTGCTGTCATTTTCATATTTGCCACTGTGAGCACCTGAAATTTCCCTTGTTTTGTGTTCAATATATTACTTATTGTTACTGCCTCATCATTTAACATATAATCTGTACTACTGCAAATTATGGACAAAAACATAAATTTTATGTTTCATTTTATAGCTCCTGCTCGTCTCACCATATGGATTGAAACATTTAGAGGAAAGTATGTCATTGGGATCTTATCAAAACTTACTTATTGTCCCATCCCTATCTGTTTTATGATAATATAAATAAGCACACAAACAACTACAGTGAAACCTCTATCCATCGTTCCCGGAACTATCGTTTTCCCGGATGCATCGTCCGTTTTGTTCGGTCCCGAATACATCCCATATAAAATAATGTTACATTTTCCCGCTTCTATCGTTCCTCGAACTATCGTTTTATCGCATCGATCGTTCAAAAATCGTAGTCCCGGCCCACAATTTTCCCGCAATGATCGTTCCTGAGAATTTAAAATGCTGGGTTTAGAGATAAATTAATAC